AACCTAACTAATGCCGCGACCCTTTAATACAGTTCCTCATGTGGTGGTGACCCCTAACCATAAAATTATTTTATGTTTTCCATATTTTTTCAAAAATATATGTTTTCTGATGGTCTTGGGTGACCCCTGTGAAAGGGTCGTTCGACCCCCAAAGGGGTCCCAACCTACAGGTTGAGAACCACTGATATAAAGACTCTTACTAAGTCCTTGCAAGGTTGGGACTGTCAAGTCCATCTTTAGTGACCTCATAAGTCCTGTCCAAAGTGCCATTCTCAAACACCCGAAAACAGCCAACCAGAAAAGAAGTACCCTGGGGGTGAGGGGAAAAAAGTTAAGGAAGCCTTGACAGAACATAGGCTGCCTCTGCAAATTCAAACTTGTCTTCCTATAATGCTTCATGAGGGTTGAGGCTTCTGATCATGTCACCATCCATGTCTAACAGGAGAGCCCTTGGTGACAGGACTAATAATCCTTCTGCCCAAGGGGGCAATAATAGTCCTGGGTAGTTGACTGTTGCTTAGCTGAATAGGCCAGTGCGATGCATTCCTTAACCCATCTGCTGAACAAGAAGGCTATTATTCATCTTCCTAAAACATTTGCCCAAAGTGAAATAAACAGACTCTCTGCCTTCCTGTGCCTTTGGATGTGCTTGTTGTAAATTCTGAAGGTTAAATGCAAATCTAGCTTATGCCAGGTTTTGAGCACTTTGAAAGAATTTGGCAGAAATTTGGAACCAAAATTAAATCTTGGAATTCACCATAGACATAGAACATGGTTTATATGGAACCGTGTGCCTTGTAAAAATTGGAGTCCACCTCAGGCCTGAGGGATGATTCGGAACTTAACATCACCTTAACTTTATAAAAGAGATAAATCTTTCCTCACAGAGCTGTTAATTTCCTAACCTTCTTGGCTGAACTGAGAGTAACTAGGAAACCCATTTTCTCACCAAGAACGTTCATTGGAAACTCTTTAATGGACACAAGGGAACATGGTCAGTTCCTTGAAAATTGATGTAAAAATCCAATGAAGATAATTGGAAGATGAAGCTTGTGCCTTTAAGACAGTGTTTCTCAACCTTGGCGACTTTAAGTCCTGTGGACTTCAACTCCCAGCAGAGCTGGCTGGGGAATTCTGGGAGTTAAAGTCCATAGGACTTAAAGTCGCTAAGGTCGAGAAACGCTGCTTTAAGAAATCAGCATGCTTGGGGGGGGGTTGCTCTCTCATTTTTCCAGAAAAATGGACCACAAGTCAGTATTCCGCAAGATATTTGACAGCAGCCCCTTGCCTATCCAGCTTGAAAAAATCTCAGAAATTCCAGTTTCTTGTGTTATTTCTATAAGATTCCTTTTCTACACTACCATTCAAATATTGTTCAGGTTTTCTGATATAGCTTCCTTGTAGTTGGATGTCTAGTTACCAAAACAATCTCTACTTTGATATGCCAACATAGAACACTTACGTCTGTTTGTCCTCTAGATACAGCTCATAACACTCGGTATCTGCCCCTTAGGTTTAGCAGCTCTGTTTTGGGTTCACACATGCCTCAAAGGCCTTTGCCTCCTCTCCACTAAGACTGAACACCATGATCTCCTGGGTCAGATTACTTTAACTCTTGAGCATCTTTATCTTACATGCTGCCCTGAACAGGTTTGATGTTGGCAGGAAGATGTAGAGATGGCCACCTTGCATAATGTAGACAACACACTATTTCCCTTTATCCTGTAGTCCTGGAACTTGGAGTGGAGGGAACAGTTCGTCTGCTGTCGGAAAGAGATTGACCAAGATCTCTCCCCTTTTCTGGAGTTCATTTGCAAAGATAAGAGGAGAAAGACTTTGAATGAAAGAGGCCAGATCCATGAGCAAAGTGATAAAAGGAAATGTTCTTGTTTTCAATGAAAATGTCCCTTAAATTTATGCAATCAGGTTCCAAGTGAATTGAATTTATGTATTCATTTTATTTCATTTATAACTATCCATGTCATTGTTACGATGACTCTGGGTGGCTTATAAAAGATAAATATTGGAACAATACATTTCTTTAAAATTACTTTAGAGCTAAGAAGAATGAAGGGCAAATTCACCGTGGAGACCATGGAATCAGCACCAGCATAGCCATTCTCCAATCCCACTAGTGTTCTCAAATCAGCCCAACCTTCACTATTGTCCCCGAATGTTGAATACCATAGGAATACTGTGCTGTGAGCTGATCAGGGCTCCCTCTTGTGGTGCTATAATAGATTTGCAAAACTCATCAGCCAATACCAGTTTCTGAGCTACAGCAGGTTCTATAATATCTACAAATCCCTAAATATCTACTATTCACAATTTTATTCTGCAAAACACAAATTACATTAAAGGGCAACGCACCAACCAGCTTTACTGAAAAACAGAAGGTGGAAAGAATCATAGCAAAACAAAGCACTGTGACTTTTTAAGATTTAAGATTTAATTTATTTGTATGCCGCCCTTCTCCGGAAGGGACTCAGGGCGGCGAACAACTCAAAAGGGGAAAG